CATAGCCGCGTATGATTGACATTTAACAAAGGCCAATTCTGAATGCAATAGTTGTTGTTGGCAAACAATAACAATTGGAAAAGTGTTTATATATACAAATTTATTTACATATATACATAAATGTGCTTCGGTTTAAGTTGGCGTAAATTGCGCTGGTTGATAACAATTTTTTATTCTTGCTCAGTTTTTTTTTTAAATTTGCAGTTCTTGACGAATTCTTGATTTAATTTCAAAATACTCGCCTCCATATCCCATTTGATATAACTTTTATCGTAAATCAAAATCTAAGTTTTGCTTGTGCGCGCTATCCTAAAGTCTATGATAACTGAAACGAGAAATACACTTACTAAAGCATTTATGAAGAGCTCGATTCTTTTCGTCATAAATATGATATAAATAAAAATTGTCTATCTATCAGATTCCTTACGTTGAAATATGTATTCCAAAAATTAATCTCAGAATATCAAAACCAATACCCACAGCCACGGCATTACGAAGCCGTGTAGTGGAATTTTCCAATTAGATTAGCTTGTTGCTCTATTGAGAGACTTGATCTCCAATATAAAGCAGTTACACAGATATCAACAGCTACTTTACACTAGAGTCTTTGTTATATTATGAAGGAATGCAAAAAAAAAATAGTTTAAGCAATCGACAAACTGTATGTACTATTTACTTTTTTCTAGAATCCGTTTATAAATCAATTTATAAATTCATCCATTCTCCTGAACGTTCGCCGATATGCATGCGAAAATAATTGTCATTTAATGTAATAAAAATAAAATTTCACTTTTAATTGTACAACACAGCTTATACTCGTTCAAAGTTCACATAATCAAGCAAACGTGTATATAAATAGGAGTAGTCGTACATAGATATACATATGTACCAATAGGTTCAAAGAAATGCAATTAAATTTTTGGCAAGAAATTTCGCTACTAAGTATAAATCTGGCTTCCCTATTTTACCTTTGCCAAGAAATGCTTTTCACACTTTTCCGCAAGTAGCAGCAACAGGTTTTTTATTTCTCGTTTCTGTCAAGAAATTATTTCATTTGAGAATAACCGCGCGTATGCTTCTTGCAGAGGGCTCTCATATACAGCAAATCAAAGAGGCTGGTGGATTATTAGTATAAGAATTTTGTCATTTATCACAGAACATCTGGGTGATGGCCGCACTGAATCTTGAATATAACATTCATAAAAAATACTCTCACAGTAAAAAAAAAATAAAATTGTTACAAGAATAGTATGACAGAAACCACAATGTTCACATGATGAAAAGTGATAAGTTAACAGGAACGGAAAAAATGGAGGCGAATTATTTTATTCAAATGTCCATTTCTGGGAGAACTTTAAGATTCATGTCACATTAGATAACTGGCGTGGCTTTAAAGTGCCAATAATACAACAAATACTTTTAAAAATTAGGAATCATCATGTAATTTATTAGCACATTCTGAGTATTTCAATTCTGCTGATTTATATTTTATTAAATGCTTTTGAAACGCAAAAAAAAAAAAATTGCTAAAATTGTGTAATTATAAAATCGAAGCACTCTTGGTATTTTCCTGTTAACAAATTTAGTGATTTATTATAAACGTAACTTGTTTCGGAGAAAATTGTTACTACTATTATTAACACAGCTACATGCCTAGATGTACATGTGAAATATTACTAGTTTTATGAATACTGAAATTCTATAAAATTTTCAGATAAACTGAATGCTAACAACAAAAAATTAATAACACAAATCAGCACGAAAGTGAAGTAAATGGTTTGGCGGAGTATTTGATGTAGCGCTGCACTGTTCGACTATGCAATTAGCTTAAAAAAATGCAAAATAAGCTGCACCACAACCAATACAATTGGCGTTGATTTTTGTATGATTACATGCCAAATTTACAGTTGATATGCATTTTTCAGATTATAAAAACTATTAATACACATACATTGTTGCATTTAATGTTGGCATTAAAACATAATGCGAGAATTTGCCAGTTTCTGATTTTAACTCTTTCGTAGAAATAATTATTTCAACCGATATCGTATAAAAGAAAACATTTGTAGATTTCAACCTGTGATGTATGCATTGCAATTAATTCATTGGATGGCCACTGAAATTTCCTTTGTATGAAGGCTAATTGGAAGCAGGCACTTTGAAGAACATATTTCCTCAAGGGAAAAAACTACTCATTACTGTAAACATCACCTATTTGGTTAATTAAGTTTATTTGTTTTTTTTAATAAATACTCAATATTACCGTCAGTCTTTGTAAAAAATACGTGCAGATATATATGTATATACTAGTACGTTTGTGTGCTCTGTATTCTGAACACAATGTTGCTTATACGTCATGCCCGCCTCAATGCCACCCTACTAATTCTGTGCTACTAAATCTGTTTTTAAAATGTAAAGGAAATATTGCGCTTCAAAATATTGTATATTGCGCAATAGCCAGAGCTGAAGTGCAGGGATCACCTCTTTGTTTCTGCTGCTCGTGCGGCTTGCTCACTCATCATTTACAACCAGAAACGTGATTTTATGACAATTTTATCAAATCCAGCTGTAACAAAGTTTTTTCTTTATTTGCCTTCAACGTTGCTTAGCTATTTATTTCATTTATTTTTTAGTTAAACTTTCTATGTATCTACATATGTGCATATGAACATGGATAAAAATGCAAACACTAAATAATACTAAGTTGAGTCTTGTGCTTCATCTCTTTGGTATCCATTTGCTTTGGACGATATATAGACTTCCAAAAGAAACTTACACATTTAAACTTAAGCACTTCGATATGTTTTTATTGTTTCTTTCCAAACCGTCTGACTGCGGCATAATAATGATTTCTGCCTGCTCTTATGAGCTGATCACTTTATTGCATCGCGGCAAAGTGCAACCGCGAAAACTTTAATGTACATTTGTTGTTTGCCTACTTTGTTATTGTTGGCTTTTGCTGTTATGAGGCCAATTGAAATTTGCAATTAAAGTAAACGAAATTAAAAAATAAACGAAACATTGGAAAAAATATATAATTAAAGGAATAAGAAACTGTGTCAAGCATTTTCTATTACAAAAACGCACATCTGGATGTAAGCGTATATATACATACTCCTATATATGAGTAAGAACATTGCAGCTATGAGGCGGCACAAAGCTATATATATAATAGCAAATACAATACTCTGCTTTATACCACTTTACATAGTTCTACTTGAATAACAACGAAACGATATTAGAAAATAAATGTGTGATATTCCTCATCTAGGTCGAATAAGTAAAAATACAATAACAAAAAAAATTAAAGATAAAATAAAATAAAATAAAGAAACATAAAATAAAATCAAGCAAAATTAAATAAAATAAAACAGAACAGAACGAAGCAACATAAAGTAAAATAAAATGAAATGAAATAAAAAATCACTTTAAATAAAATAAATTAAAAAAAAAAAATAATTAAACATAAAATAAAACTAAATCAAATAAAATTAAAGTAAGTTAAATAAAATAAAATAAAATAAACGAATAAAATAAAACAAAATAAAATAATAAAAAACATAAAACGTAACAAAAAACAAAAAAAAATATTAAAATAGATAACAAAAAAAAACAAAGCGAAATACCCAAGAGTATTTGAATTTAAATAAACTGTAATAATAAGAATAAACTAAAAAAAGCAAAATAAAATAAAATTAAACGAGTAATGCAGACTGATGTGAGCTAAAAATACTGTTCATTAAAATATTTTTATGTTACTCTTTTGGCCATGAATCTATATGTTGAAAGAATTGAAGAATAGCGGAATTTTAATAAAAAATCTAAATGTATAATTATGTATAAATGTGTATTCATAAATCTTGAATAACCTAATCGGATACAAAATATTACATACATACATGTAAGTAAGTCTATATCTACTGGTACCACCGCTGACTGTAAAACCTAATGAATTTTTATTTAATAGTAGCGGTTTTAACCTTCAATATTTCAAAGTGAGCATACTTTCTGTTATTATTTTTTAATTTCATTTAAAATATTGGCTACTTTAGCTCGTCACTCTTGTAATGGGCGTATATCGGAAGTTATAAACGCGCATAACGAAATAATCTGCTACTTTTAAGGCGTCAAGACACACTACGCAGCTGACAAAGCGTTGAGCTTTTAGCGCAGTGTTGCTGTTGTTGTATATCAGTGGATATGGGCATAAGTGTGCCACGCCAAGCCGGTGCTGACATTGAAGCTTTGAGTGTGCGCGTATGCTTAATATAATATATAACACTCATGCATATGTTTGTATGTGTATGCATGATTGTTTTGTATTGCTTCACGGTTGCTCATACGCAGTGGTGGCTCGGAAAATTTCATCACTATTCATTAAATTGGCTCTTTAATTAGCTGGGTGGGGCATGACAGCGACGGAGGTGAGTAGCCAAGGCATATGTCATTATGCTACTGAACCGAAAAGGATTTATTATTGCGTGCGCCATCAAGAATGATCAATTTATATTTGTAAATGGCCGTTTCGGATGTAAAAAAAAGGAATCATGTAGGCAAGTGCAAAGTGTTGTAATTAATCGTCAGCAAATCTCGTATAAGAACAACTATTTTAATATTCATACAAAAGCTGTTTGTAATTACGAACTTCAACATTTCGTTCCATTTCAGCCTTTTAATGCTCCAATTGTAATGCATGAAAGTGCGTGAAATATTAATGCATGAGTGCCCACATACACAAACGCCAAGTGAGGCATGTGAAAATTTGGCATTTCAAGTTTTGGCTTCCACAAATATACATATGTACATATGTACATACTTATACAACTTTATATCGGCGATTTTTGTGTGCATTAGACGACCACATACCACAGTCAATCAAAAAGCGATCCATTTAGGTCAACAGACGTAGTTTGTCAATGAAAATTTTCAACGCTTTCAAATATTCCGCCTCACACATACAGACTATATACATAGAGAGGTGTATAAAATGTGGTACTTACCCTCTTTTTGCGTGGCGCTTCTTCATTGAAGTCTACAACGATGCCCTCATCCGATGTGGATACTGATGTCGTACGTATGCGGGCGCTCGGATCATTCAACATTGGGCTTGTATTGAGGCCGGCATGCCCGTCATCGCTAAGCGGTGGCGATGAGGAGCCCGAACTCCAAGAGCTGCCCGATGATGATGAACTGCCCGGACTGGAGCCGAACAATTTTTCTGATATGAGCAAAAAGGATAAGATCGCAAATTAAATTGTGTATCTCAAAGAAGGTTCACAATACAAATCAAGATTATAAGTGCAAAAGATAATAAATTAAAAAAAAAAATTTGATTAAATGAAATAAAATAGAATAAAAAAATAATATGAAATTGAATTAAAAAAAATTAAATAAGAAATATAATATAATGCATAAAATAAAATATAATTAAATGAAATAAATAATGTTAAATTAAAACACAACAAATTAAACGTAATTAAATTGAATTATATGAAATAATATAAGATAATTTAAAACAGAAAAGTGTGAAATTAAGTAAAATTAAAAAAATAATAAATGCAAGGAATAAAATAAGTTAATCAATAAATAAAGACTGGGTTAAGATTGCCAAAACAGATGCGCTGACCTGCATTTTTGGGTGAGTGTGAGAGTTTCATTAAAATCAAAGCTGCGTTGCATTCCTCCATTTCCTCCTTGTCACCGCACTGTCCACTAAAGAATTCGTGGGTATATGGCTGTGGACGTTTTCTTGAGCTGCAAATAAAAAACAAAGTCAAGGAATTATTAGAAAAGATGTCCCATTCCAAAAACAAATAGAAGACTATTAAAAATTATTAATAAATTTTGTAAAACTTTATCCTTCTATAAAATTTTAGTTTAGATATAGGATTGACAAAAAGTGAATGGAGAAGTGGCTGTACTCGGCTTCAATTTAAGCCTTTTACTGATATTCATATAAGCGAATGTGGAATTCATGAAATTAAAAACATTCACGAAAAACCGAAAAGCGACCTTCAGCTGTTAGTGAGTTACAAGGGCTGACACCTACCTAGTAACGAGAATAAGCAACAAAATATTTCTGCAGTCTAATTTTGCGAAATTTCGTCAATCTCATAAAGCACGATTTTTCTTTAAGCTTTTTGTTTTAAATTTGCATCACTATTTTTGTAAATTTTCCACTTGCACTTTTCCAAAATTAGGCTTTTCTTGTACATCAATGCGCAATTTTGTCACAATAAACTGAATGCTAAAGTGTTCGTTGTGCTTGTATTCTCAGAACTATAAGTAAGTTGCTGAATCCCTAAGCAACCCAGGTGTCGAAAGGGTTAAGTAAATATTTCTAATTTTAATATGTATATTTTATAATTCAAGGTCAAGCAAATACGTAAAGGAGGGCTAAAAGTGCAGTAATCGGCGAAACTGGAAACTTGGGTGAGTTGCCCCAAGTTCTGGGAATAGCTAATATCTTCCCCCATATTCACCTCACTTTTAACCATGGTGTATTTCGTCATATAATTGTTAGCTTACGAGTTATATAAAAGTACGCTTTTACCTACAATTGGACGGAGAAATCATCAAATCAAGAACATTTTAAGTTTCACACTTTTCTTTTGATCACAAGTACCAAATCTTTATAAGTGGGTTAATGCTTAATTTTTTCAATTATGAATTTGAATATTTTGAGCTGAAAAGTACTGAACTGAATTACATAGTCAAGATTTCCGCCGCTTTCCATATGGGCAATATAAATTATACAAATTTTGGACATACATATGTAAAGGAAGACAGCCACGGCAAAACTAGTCCTTTTCATCAAAGAAGTTTACTGCACTCATATGAATACAAACATGAGCTGGTAAGCCCTGATATTGATTGTCAGTCGGTTGGTTATAAGAATTGTCATCGTCTAGTAATGAACATAAAATATAATGCAAAATATATGCCATTGGAGTCACATACAATTAATAATAAACTTTTATTAAAAAAGCAGCGCAAACGACTGAAGAAAAAGCGTATTTTACTTTGTCTCTTTTTCAATGCATTCGCACATATATGTATGTATATGTACAGTCATACACCCTCGCCGCTGCCCACCTTTATCGGCTTAGGCTTTGAGTTCGAATGGCTCACTGACCTTGCGCAATAATATAATTTTGAGTCATTTTAGGCGCTAAAAATAATTATCATCGCCGCGGCATTTGTTTGGCTGTTTTCGACACCCCAAAAAAGCAAATGAGTGAAAAGTAATTTGCGTCAAAGGATTGTGAATACAAATACGTTTAATAATAAAAGACGCTTTGCATGTTCGTTTGTACACTTAATTTTATGCCGATGTTTCGTGTTTGCGCCGCATTGCTGCCGCGCCGCTATTAGGTGGGGTCTCTAGGTTACGCAAAGAGCTGGTGGTTGGTGGTAATGACAATGACACAATATACAAAATTGGGGAGACGAATTTGTTTGAGTTGCTTGTTTGTTTGTCATAGATGAGTTGCGATTCAGATGGCCGTATGGGGTGCGTAATACAATAGTACGTCATCGTCAATGCTGTTAGATTACATATTTACATGTACGGTGACAGCAAAGTATTGTTGTTGGCAAGATGCACTAGAAGTCATGGAGAAACTTATACTTATTTGTATAAGGTCAGAAATACGATTGGATTGTTAGCAAGGTAAATAAACACTGTCGGTGTTTCGAGAAGCATGCTAAAACTCAGTTTAACTGCTTAACACAAAATAATCGAAAAATGTGATTTATTGTAGATGATTTTCAAGCGATTTCATGCTGTAATGTTTTTACTTCAGTTTGTCCAACCGAAGTCCGGATGTTATTAATAAGCCATATGCAAAGTTAACTTGTTAATAAAATATTGATCAGTCAAAATTACTCCGCAGGAAAGTGCGGTTGGTCAAGAGCTATCTTATTATTCTGATTGCAATACCTCATAGACAATACAGTACGCAATTTTTGTGCCGAATCGGAAGAGCCTCTGACCTGAGCAGAGTTCTGAATCTATTTTTTGTAAGAATATATATGTTTAATCTTCTTTAGTGTTGCCTTCAAGCACTTTGAACATTGAGCTGCCTACTAATAAATGAATACTTTTTATTGAAAACACAATCAAATTATGTAAGCTTATATGTATTTCAAGCACAGTGGTAAAGGCTGCTATCAACCAAAGAACGGTAGATGCCTCATTTGGATTGTTTTGGATTTTCTTATTTCTTTTCATACCAGGCGGCCAAAAGTCAATGGGATAGACAGTTAGCCAGTCACAACGTTCTTGAGTAATGACAATTCAATAGCGTGGAAAGCTAGCGACAAAGCACCAAATGAGTAAAATTTTCGTATATATACACATTATAATCTTATGTATGTATATGTAATTTCTTGCAAGTGTTTGAAGACGCCGCGCGAATGCGTACGTGCGTTGATGCCTCCATACAGAGATATAGTTGACTATAGCGGCGTGGTTAACTACAGTGACTCCAGAGATAAAAAATAATAACGTGAACAGGCATATGTGGGGTTGCAGAGTCGAATTTGTCCTGGTGCTAAATTTCAAACACTTCGTCACTGACAACTTGACGTTCTTATCTACGAACTATTGTAGCTAGAGGCAAGAGGATCATTTAGTTGCAGCCTTCGTTTCCGAGAGAAGTATGATTTGTTGTAGTTTCGTTGGAGTAACTTGATGCCGGTTTATTTTTTCTCAAATTGCTACCTACTATTTGATGCTTAGTCTGCTTGTGTTCAATATACGAGGATGAGATACATATATTTATATATACAACTTTATCCGTATCAACCTAGTTCAAAATTAGTTTTTTGAGGTGTTATCTATCATTTGCCTAAATATTTAATTGTTTTTTTTTTTTCTTTACATAAATAGATGGCCTAAAGGGTAGCTTTACATTTTAGCTATGAGACAGTTGTCTGGGTGAAGTAGGTTAATCAATTATACAAAAAACTGAATGCATTCAGCCATTATAGGAAAAAGGAAAATTTATATATTTCATATTTCAATATGAAACTACCCAAAAGCGAAACTTAATATAAAGAAATTAATTAAATTGCTTTTGTTGCGATTTCTCCGAAGCCCAGATCATCTCACCCTGTTGCCGGCCATTGCATTTTCAGCTATTACAGCTATGGGTATCTCAAATTTTGCATTGGAGATCAGCCATGTAGGTAACATACGTCCGGGCTTGTGCTAGTAACCAGCGAAACTGTTTGGCGTACATCCACAATCACTCAGAAACAGTCCATCCGTACTTACTTGATTTTTTATTGTTATTTTTTGCATAAACAGTGAAACTTAGTAGCAAATATGCATCAATTGGTGGCACGCAGCAAGGACTGTAGTGGTATACAGTTGCTAATGTGGTACTTTCTGTTTATTAATATCTTACTTCTGCACCAGGGAGTGTTTTGCTGCTAGAGAGTCGCTCCGAGCAATTGGTGTGCCACGAATGCTGAGGTTAGCGTTGAATTTGAAATGTGATATTTTTCCGCCAATAACTATGCTTTTTTGCTTTGATTTCAAATGCATTGCAACAATTTTCGTTTTTCATTCTCTTTGGTGAAAGAAATCAGATTTGGTTTCCTCAATTGCACTGCTCTCCAGAAAGTAGCCCAATAAACACAACGGTTTCGTATCGAACACGAGGCTCACGAGACTCACCTTTCCTGATATTATTATTGTGGTGCCCCATCGCAATACTAGATACGACTAGCATGTGTTTTAGAAAAGAAAGTTTGTTCAAAAATTTGCTCCCGTGTTTTATTTTCCTAACCACTGTAGATCGATTACAAAAACAATTGATGTGTATGTGCAACAGCAAAACAGTTTTTCCTGCACTCAACACGAGTTCCTAACAATATATTTGGGTTTATTGGCTTCACTGTGTTCACTGCAGTGTTGCTGTCGTCAACACTTGGCCCGCCATGGCACGCAAACATTGCTGGAATGACGCTGCACATACAAACATAGAGACTCACAGCTAAATACGAAAAAAGTCGTATAAAGGCTTTTGCTATGCGGACGTAACGAACGCAAAATAAAATTGCAAAAGAAAGTGTTGAAAAGCAAATTAGCCAATTTTTTCCATTTGTTACACTGTTTTCCTACAATACCTGCTTTCGGATATTATTTCGATTTTCCTGGCATTTTGACGGCAACCAAGCGCGCGAGCGAACGTAATGCAACTAATGCGTCGACTTGCCACGATAGCAGGCTGCAACTATTGGTGGCAGGACGTCACGCTGAGCGCACGCGTGCAGAATCGTCTACTTGATCGCGGTGCAAATGTCCATTGGATTTCCTTGCTATTGCTGCCGCCATTGTGGTTTGTTGTTTTAAGCGGCGCGCGGCACACAGCGCACGGTCAGTGGAATTGATCGTGGCAATAATTGTTAGCAACTTATATGCAATTGTTGCTGCGTGATTGATTTGTGCTTTTCTTTCATTTCTGCCTCAAAGGTATTTTCTGGCTGGAAAAAAATTATCTGATCTTCCAATCAAGCCTTGGTGCATGTTGCTGCTGCCGCCTTGACTGAGAGGTGTTGGCAACACAAATTGCTATTTGTTGCTATGGCCAACACGTTAATGCGAATATTGGTAGTGTGTACATACATACACGTATGCACATGTATATGTATTTGCAAGTGTGCGCATTACAGTTTCATAGGCAATAATTTGATAATATCAATTGCATTTGGCATTTTAATTGAATTCGGGTGCAGCGAATTGT